GCTGGCTCACAGGCGCCCGCCACGACGCCCAGTGAACATGTTTTTGGTTTCGGGCTATTCGTGCCGGAGCTCCGCCAGAGACCATGGATTTTTAGAGTGTGCCAGATAGGAAGCGTAAGCGAGAGAGTATGGATTTTTAGACTGTATTAGAAATAAAGCGTAAGCGAGAGAGTGCATGCTTGGAGGAGGCGAAGAGTGCGTGCGCAGTGGCAATGTGACGAGTGAGCAACGCGTCGAAGCGAGAGAGTACAGGTCCTGACGAGGTCAGAGTATGACAATCCGTAAGATTTCGTGCAAATTTCGCGGCTACGGAATTTTATACTCGCTACAGTATGACAGCACATTGATGATTCAAATTGCTTGTAATGACATGGCATTACACTTTACATCAAAGCAGCATTATTTTCGCACTCATTATCACATGCAGAAGGAGCATGTGTAGGATGCTCGAAGTCTCTAATATGAGAAGGCAATGATTTGAGTGACAATCTAATTAGATTCATTGTGTGTCCTTCGTATAGCAATTTGTATTGAAAGAAATGTACAGCATGACACGCAGAAAACTTGTTTTGTGTGGGAGAGAAATAATTTATCCTTGTACGAGGCTCCCAAGTTCTAATAAAACATTTTTCTACTAGCTACAGATGGATACAATACATCAAGCACTGACTGTCGTCGGTATCTGTGTTTCAATCTCATCCAAATTTGGCAAATCGTACTTGAATAATACGAAGTCATTATAAAATAATCGCACTATCAGTTCCATCAAATATGGGCTATTGCGAATTCTTTGTTCCAAATAAGTCCTTGCAACCGATGATACCGTTGTATGCGCAGTTCGTCCGGATCGAAGCGAGTCAGCGATATAGTTGATTGAATCCTCTTCAACCTGTTGGAAAAAAAAAGATATTTAAAAACGAAGACATTAGCGAGAACCCGAACCCCTTGTGCCCTCAAGAGACGAGACAAATCCTCTGTAAGAGTTCCGCTTGGATCAGTTGAATATCGGATGAACTCGTATTTGTTGTAGTGTTTCTCCATATCACATCTCCTAGATAAATTTGAAAATAACAAAAAAAA